AGCTACATGGATTAAGAGGATTACATTAGCATATTTGCACCCAGATAAAAACAGCAGGAGGGGGGCTTAGCTGGGAATTGGCTGAGTTTTGGAGTTTGTGGCTTCTGTAAAACAGATGGGACATCTGGCCATGGCTGTGAGGGAAAAGAAAAAAAAAATCCTTGTGAATTTGGCTAATTTCTGTGATTATAAAGAACTCCTAGAAGTCAATCCTGTTATAGCTGCTGAGATTACTTCAGTTGTACGGATGTGGGATTTTCCTGGTTTGCATTTCCACGAGACCGCAACAGAAGGACTGTTCTTTCAATTGCAATGTTTTTCCAACAAATCTTTATTTTCAAGAACGTATATTAGCGATAACACAGGTAGTCCCCAATTTAAGAACGCACTCCGTTCCCAAGATCTGTCCTTAAGTCAAATTTATATGTAAGCCAGAACAGTAATTGTATAATACCGTGTCAGTAGTATTGGGTAATGAACTCGAACCGTTGTGTATTTAACTCGAATTATTCTGTATTTAACTCAAATTTTGCTACAAAAGGCTCTGTTCTTAACGATGGGCCGTCCTTAAACCGGCTGTTCTTAACCTGGGGACTCCCTGTATAGTATCAACAATGACACCCTTAGAAGTGTAGAATGAGTCATGCGATCTACAGTGATTGTAGATTTGATAAGCTGGATGAAAGCTGATGTCTGGAATCAGGAAATCAATTAAATAACGTAAATTTGGCTGTTGAGTCTATCCACAGACAAGGGAAAGAAAGAAGCAGACAATTTACAAGGTCCCAATACATGAAAGTTCGAATGGCTACTGTTGTGAAAACAGTCCAAGATTTAAAAAAAACAAGAAGACACTCCAAAAACCAGGCAATATCCAATTTTAAGGCCATGCCTGCAGAATGGAGGACATGAAGACAAAAACTAGATGTTTCCTCCTTTTGCCAGATGTCTGTAACTCTATGCTTCAAGCCACCAGGTTGAGAAAAGTTGTAGCAGTCCCATTGCAAACAACAGGAAAAGTCATAGTTTCCTTTATTATAGTGGGTCTATTCTAAGCCTCTCTTGGGGGGTGTGTGTGTGTGTGTGTGTCCTGGAGGCGGCAGAAATGTTGGCATTTCTCCTGGTGTTGGTTGTAACTTTAGAGGAGGAATCCAACATCAGGTTTCACCCTAGCTTCTCCAGAAGCTTCTGACACATCTTCCCGATGCCAGAAAGGAGAAACAGAAGCCAAAAGAAATTGCAGATCGATGGCATGCAAAACTCTTCTGGGCATCATCTGTACGTGGAAAACCAGTTTCTCATCCTGAACGGATGCATGTTAATCCCCCTGCATGAACTTACTTTTGAAAATCCACGCTCGATTACCATCCCTGCACCTGGAACATCTTCACTTCTTCATTGCCATGGTCCAATTTGATCTTTCCTCCTCCCTCCCTCCAGATTGGTTGAAAAAAGGGTGATTTTCTCTCTCAAATGACCATAGGAATAGTCATACCAGCAGGAATGTTTAGGAGCTGAGTAATATATTGATTTTAGAGATTTTTTTTATCACCGATTTTTTTTTCCAAATCTTCGTTTGGCAAGGGGTTTCCCTGTTAGGTCACTGGGTTGATACAAATTGGAGCATAGAGCCAGGCACGCACACATCAGCTCTTGCCACCCGCTCCTGAGCGTTTTCTCAAAAGCCCCATCAAATTCCAGAGCTTCCTTCCAAATAACCCTATGCTAGATTACAGCCTCGTGCATCACATTTAGACACGCTGGGGAAAGATGCAAACAAAATTGCTTGCTCTGGGTTTGGGCTGGGCCGGGTGGTAGCCCACGGCAAAATCAGAAATGCATCTTTGAAAAGCTTCCTGGTATTGGGGAATTCCATTGTCAAACATCTGCCTTTGGACATGGCTTTTTGGCAGCGAGAAAGTGATGAGACGAAACGGCCGCCAGCTGTAGTCCCTCTGGCAGATCCTGAAGTGAAAGAAGCCAGGGCTGCTGGAATATACATTTGCAGGCAACGTGAGCAAGCGCTGGAGAAATCCACACAGCCAGCCGTTGTCACAATTGCCACAATCATGGCACGCCCCAGCAGATTAGGACAACTGCTAGCTTCCGCTGGGTGGAAACACCCGGTGTGCAGAGGTGCCACCTAAGGCAACTGGAGCAACGCCAACTAGTGGCCGCGGGTGGGGTGCACGATTGGTAACACCAGCCCCAAGGCAGATCAGCGGTGATCCACTGAGCGTGAGCATCGCATGATGATGAAGAACGGGTGGAAAAGAAGGGTCATTGCCTATCAAGGCATCCTTATCACAAACCAGCTTAGGATACAAAGTCACTTAAAATTAGGCCTAGTGTAACGGGACGGCAAACATCTGGAGGATCACTCAACTAGAGCGAGATTGTGCTTCCTGTAGCGTTTTGTCACCTTCTCATAATTCTGTCCAGAGATGGGCAAGCCAGATCTTGCATACTTTGTTAAAGAGGAAGGCAGAGCAAAATGTCGGGCCCTTTTTAATATTTTACACTTTACAAGGGTGACAATAAGATCTGTAGAAGGCTGCTCCAGATCCCAACGGCCAAGTTTGATTGGAAGATCTGGTCGCCATCCAAAAAGCTCAGAGATCGTTCATCTCCGCTGCCGTGTTCTTGTGCGATATTCCTACGGGTTGTTGCAGCGGGAACAGCACCGTAGTTTCTCCCGACGTAAAAGTTGGGTGCAATTTTTAGGAAGGATGCTAACGTTCATCCATTGTTTTTTTCTTCTTCTAGGCTTTCCTTCTGATTGAGCTTAATTGCGTTTCACCGGGGCACGTGACAAATTTTGCAGGCACAGTTAGCGTGAGGGTCTCCATCGCCGTCTTTGAGTGGAAGATGCTTCGAGAATGGGACAAAATAAATCAATCCTTCTGCTCCCTAGTTGATGTTGGTGTATTCCTGTGAGACTGGAGCAGGGCTATGCGTGCAAAGTAACCAGTGCTCGAGTTAGCAAAAACAATGGTGTGAGCTTAATTTAAGAGACTGTTTTTATATATATTTTATATATATTTTCCTCTGTCAGAATATTTGGGATAATCTTCTGCCTCCCATTCCATGTCTCCCAAAACCACGCTACCATACTGGGAAATTCGGGGTACAATGATGTCCCAAGATACAGTAAGAGATCTCAGTGGTTGCCTGGGGGAGGAGAAATATACTTTCTTGTCCAAACGGTTTGTGTTTTCTGAATAGATAACCTGGATTACCGGATTATTTATAGTGGCTCGTTCCTTGGCCAAGCTAGCCAGGAATTCGGAATTTAGTCATCTCAATATCTTGGTGGACAGATATGGAATTAGCTGCACGGGGGACTGGATTGGAAAGTTTCTGACTTAGGAAATACAGGAAAAACAGCCTCAAAGTTTATGTTGAGAACAAATGGTAAGGATTAATTGAGCATCTTATAAGAAAAGTTGGAAGACTCTGCTAATTCTGCTGTTTGCCAGGGGAATTTTACCAAAAATATGTGAACGTGGTGAGTCAGACACCAGTAAAGACACTACTACTTTCATAAAAAGCTCCAGCGTACTCCCATCTATGGCCCCAGCTGCGATCTCAGGGCTGGAGTAGTTTCTGCCAAGGTGACATGATCAGAAGGGAGGAGAAGTCATAAGCTTTTGAGTATTTCTATTCAGGAATAATCTACTTTCTTCTTATGTGGTCTTTTTGTCCCCCCAAGTGGATTACCCACGTACAAGGAAGAGACATCAGCAGATTTGAGGAAGGATTTACAGATGTACAGAAGCCCTGGGGGTGGGGGAATGTCTTAGAAAGAACATTCAGAGCAAGCAATACTTGGTGATAACAGAATGTTGACTGACAACTGGAATGAAAACACAGCAAATCATGGAAGGAGAGACAATGCCAAGCATCACACCACCGGGCAGCAAATCGCAGATTTCTGGACACTTAACCTTTAATTCAGTACTTGGTTAGATTTGGCAGAAAATTCTCAGCCGCTACTTAGCCAAATGCCTACCGCAGAGCAAATAAATCAGAGAGTTTAGATATCAGTGCCCCAGAAGTCTAAGCTTCTTCCTCCGGCTGTTCTGAGTTAACAGGTATGTGGCAACTCACTTGGTGGTTCTGGAAGACAGTAGAAATGGATTTCTAATGGCTTTCTGTAGCCTTGAATTGCTAGCTCCCACCGCACTAGCCTCAGCCCTTACACACAGTAGAACGGAATGGAATAATATGGAACAGGGCGCAGCACCCCAATGCCCAAACATTTTACAGCAAATCTTCACTTGTCCTTCTATTTTGCAAATGGCTTGCTTTGGGCTTCCTGAAAGCACTTCGCAGAAAGCTTTATTTCCGTTTTTCTTCAGTCAGTAATTATTACCTGCAGAAAAAAATGGCATCTTGGCAATTGCCACTGAAATTAAAGATAAAACAAATGAAGACCACGGAGGTTTGTGTGAAGCACCAGATGGATCGGGGGCGAGAGCAGCAGAAAGTCGGGGGCGATCCGAACTATTCCTTTTCTCTTTCTCTACTCACCTCCTCCTGGTCTTCCTCATGCCACAGCTTTCCGAAAACAGACTAATTGGTTGGCATAAGAAGCTTCATTTGGGACATCAGGAATGCAGAATCCATAAGGCTACAAACTGTCTATGAGCAAACTCAGCAAGGATTCAAGACAATTTAATGAGCTGACTTAAAACGTGAGAAAGAATTACAAAAGTTAAGTTTTATTGCCCCTCGGAATTAAGAATATACACAGCGAATCATTTTTTCTTAGTTCAGGGAAAAGGGGAAAAAAGGAATGAGGCGGGACAGGAAATGGCTTCTGCAAACGAACGGGCACCAATCCGATTCAGATCATTCTGAATTAAGGGGGAGACATTGTCCTCCAAAGGTATCTCAACGCCTTTAAGATGCTGAGCTTTCAAGGAAGGGATTTACGGAGGAAACACTCATCAGAACCCCTTCACACATTCAGAGCTCATCATGCTTTGTGGAGTCCAAGCTGGGCTTAATGAAAACGCCTTCCATCGCCTTCCAGTAGTTGTGATGATTAGCAGAATGCATCCCGTGGACTTCCCGCTGACCCCTGATTGGGTGCCCATATTGTTCCCCTGTCACTGAAAGGAACACATCCGTTCCAATGTGCTTGAAGCGCACCGTGTCGTCCCGCTCCCAGTATGTTCCGCTGCATTGTACGGTCCACACATCCAAATCATCCCCTTCGCCGTCATCGCCAAAGGCACTTACTTCCTGTCAAATGCAGAGAATGGGGTGGGAGAAAGAGACGGTTTTAAAGACGTATCTTTGTGGCACGATTTAAGCTGTGTTTACGCAATGGGCTGAATCACACGACACAGTCGGCAAATGACACGGCCCATGCCAAAGCCACTGTATGATGGCTTAGGGTCCTGAACGGACAAGGCCATCATGCTGAACTAACATGAGATTTGTTTGTGTTGGCTTAGTCTGTAGCATGAACACAGCTACTGTGGTTTGTTGGTTGTGGTTTAGCCTAAAATACTGAAAGACGGCAACCCATGGAAGAAATGGTAAATGTGAGCAGGATTTTATTGGCTTTGAAATAATGATCTGATTCAAACTACATGCTATCCTGTGACTTGATGAAGCGTGAATGCAAATGGTTTTAAGCCATGGGTTCACTTGCTCTGCTTTCATTCATTGTGTGAACTAAGCCAATATTTTCTAGAACAACTTTTTCCCTTTTTAAGGCATCAAAGTTTTGTAGATAACGTCTACAAAAACAAACAGGAACTGAGAGCAAAAAGTGTAACTTGGGCCTCCCACTATGTTTTAGATAAAGTACTTTCCCTCAGCCCTGTAGAAGGTTCAGTAAATTTAACTTACTAGTAGAAATAGTCAGATTGTCAATAATTACTAATCAGTTACAAATAGCTATGAAACACTTTGATAGTCTAAACCACAATGTAAACACTGTCTGACATCATTAACAAGTATTCACACCAATGTCAAGTAGAATATTAATTACGGACGTACAGAGTTATCACTCACATATTCTTTTGTTCTATTTATATCTTCCAGAACAATTACTAATATCGATAGTAGTGGAAGAGATTCACAAACTGTGGAGTAGGAAAAATGGCATTTTGTTCTACAAAGTAGCCCTTTATCATTAAATTGGAATTAGGGACATGTTGCCATTTGTGTATATATCTGAATACAAATCAAGTCATGCTGGAAATGTAGTTTTGCATATTAAGAAACAAACCGAAAACCACAAACAAGCTTCAAGGATTTTTAGCACTGCAACTGTCAAGAACAATTATGTCCCAATTCATTAAAAACTCACAAAATTGAGGGCAACGTCTCACCAAAAACAAAAATTAACCATAGTAAGACTTATTTCTTAAATTTGTATAGAATTATGCTGTATATATGTAGGATGAAACAGGAGACAACAAATTAAAAAGCATGATTAACATTTTAACAAGCTCATAATAGGCTAGATCCTTCCTAAAGTTCCGACCTGGTAGTAGAATCAATTAGATTTAAATGTGTCCATATAGCTGAAATAAGTACAGTGTGAAATATGCCGAAATACTCTAGTTTTACCTGGTTATTGGAGAGGGGTGATGGGAAGTGGTGGGTGTGCAAGTTCTTCCCCGTGTTGACATGGGTAAGGCGTACTGCCTGCCCACACTTTACTGGCACTCCTCGTTGGCAGGACCCATCAATTTTGCCCCTGATCCGCCAGTAGCTGTTAGCATCATCTGACACTTCCACTCCAGTCACTGACTGTTGACCGCTACCTAGTAACAAAACAGTTACCCTCTTGTCAGTGAAAGATTGCAGGTTTATATGTGCTGACGTTAATTATTCCCAAGAAGAAAGTGCAGAAAAAATAATTACATTGCACTGCATTTATTTTTCTTCTAACCTTTCCTGATCCATCAGCACCAAATAATCAAAAGAGTTATATGAAATCTCTCTGTACAGGGTTTTTACTGTTTCCTTTTCATACTGACAGTTCTCTGAAACTTCAATGTCACTGAATATATAGGTAGGAAATAAACGATACAGAAGTAATCTACCTTTAAATAACAGACAAGGGACACTAACAAGTTTCCCCCAGATATCCTGCCAACCACTCAAAGCAGGTTGCTCAACTAGACGGATACTCTGGTCTGACTGAACTGGTTTCTTCTTAAAAACTGATGTTGAAATTTCATGGTCAGAGACAATCTACGAAAGCCAAAGCTAGAGAAATCACAGAGGATATTGCCTATGTTCTTGCCCTGGTCCTCCTCCTCCAAAAACCCTGTCTGGGGCCAGTAGGAACAAACTGCTAGCCATAACAAATGGGTAGGCTTGGTCTAACAACAACAACAACGATGACGACTGTATGTACATATACAGCCAATCTGAGGTAGTGGTTAAGGTGCTGGCAAAAAAACCAGGAGACGGTGAGTTCTAGTCCTGCCTTAGCCATGATACTGGCTGGGTGACTTGGGCCAGGCCCTCTCTCTCAGTCACCTCACAGGTTTGTTGTTGCGAGGAAAATAGGATTAAGGAGTATTACGTATGTTTGCCATCTGAGTTATATATAAAAAAGGGGGGATAAAAATCTAACAGTGATAACAACGGCAATAATAATATATAAATATTTCAAATTTATATGGCTGCCTATCTCATATGTGCAAAGGAATTGAGGAAAACAATGGGTGGCTTATGAACAATTAAAACAAGTAGAAAACCAACAAAAAAAAGAACAATACAACTATTTAAAAAATTATGATGATCAGCCTTTGCTGTCCTGGCCCTTTCCAGATGTCCTGAATTTCACCTCCCATAGTCTTCCAGCTTGCCTAGACCTGTGTTTTTTAAACTCGGCCACTTTAAGATGGATGGACTTCAACTCCCAGAATTCCCCAGCCAGCATGCTGGGAGTTGAAGTCCACCCATCTTAAAGTGGCTCAGTTTAAACACTAGCACAGCCTTTGGGTAGGAAGTCTGGGAGCTGCGTCTTTGGAAGGCGCCCCATTTAGGGAGGAGAGGCGTCACTAAAAGGAGTTTATGGTTAGAACAGGTTGTGCAACCTGCAGTCCCTGAACCCCTTTTGCAGCACCCCCCCTTCAAACCCCCATCACTGAAAACTGACGGCATAATTTCTCACCCTTTTGGGGGGCAGGAAACCCATGGCAGCTCTAAGGCAAACGCTTAAGAAGGGCAGTGCAAACACATACATCTCTCCAGAGGCCGAAAAACAAAGCAAACTCCCCCCAACCCCGTATAAAGCCCATTTCCTACCATTCCCGGCCCCCGGCCCCCCATGTTAAACGGGGCACCCAGACATCCCAAGCCCACCCACTTTCTGGCTTTTATTTACTGATTTCATTCATGGAGAAAAGGCTGCCCCTCTTCAATAAGCCCCTATCGGGGGGGGGTGACAAAAGCCCAAGAGGAGATCCTGGGGGGTCCCAGCCCAGCCTGGAGGTGGATTAGACCCATCCGTGGTAGAGCCTCCCCATTCAGGAGCTGTCTATCTGAAGCTCAAAGCAACCTCGCCCCCCCCGGGGGGGCTTAGACCCATCTTTCCGGGTAGCCCCCATCCGCCACAGAGCCTCCCCATTCAGGAGCTGTCTATCTGAAGCAGCCCCCCCCACCCCGGCCTC